GATTTGCGGTTTGCTTATAGCATCATCCGCGAAACGTTTTAGATACTTCTTTCTTTCAAAACGTATTTATATGAATCGTTTTCACAGATGCTTTCTTAAGTGAATTTGTGAAATATTCTAAGTCTTCACTAAACGGTTTCTGCGAACGCTTATAGCGAGTTTGCAAAACGTTTTTCCAGACTTGTATCGATATGATTTGCTTCAAACACCAAAGATGAAAATCGATTCTAAACTATTATTTTATTTAAAATAATATGTTATATGTTGAATGGAGTACTGATCCGGTTTCATATCTTCTTTACAGAAAAATGACGAACGATGATAACACCCCCATTGATCTCGCCACTCAGACTCCACTCAATGCGACAGCACCTGTTGCAACCGGCGTAACGAACGCTGTATCAACCGATGTAACCCTTCCAGTGGGTGCTGTTCCTGATGAGACCACACGTCGTAGCCTGTTCGGTGCTGGTCTTTATCAAACGGGTCCAATTCAAGGATCCACAAGTGCTCCGGTTGCAGTTGCGACTCCTCCGGCTATTCCTGGTGTCATTTCTCAGAATATGATGCCAGAAAAATTTGATGGCAAAGGCTTCAAAACGTGGCAGAAGAAGATGATGTTCTTCCTCAGTTTGTGCAAGTTGGACAAATTCATCGAGGAAGATAAGCCCATTATCCCTCACGGGATTGACGATATGCACATCTTTTCAAGTGTTGAAAGTTGGGTGCATTCGGATTTCATCTGCAAAGGCTACATTTTGGGTCGTCTCATTGACCCATTGTACCAAGTCTATTGTGAGATTCCAACGGCTAAAGAGCTTTGGAAATCGCTGGACAAGAAGTATAGGGGTGAAGACGCTGGCTGCCAGAAGTATGTAGTTGCAAAATTCCATGACTTCAAAATGGTGGATTCAAAACCCATCATGGATCAGGTGGAAGCGTATCAGCTCATTTGCTATGAAATTGCTGCTGAGGGGATATCCATAGATGAGACATTCATAACCCTCAGTCTCATCCAAAAGCTTCCTCCAAGCTATGCTGAATTCAAGAATTACCTGAAGCACAAAAAGAAGAAGATGGGACTTGAGGATCTCGTTCAGAGGCTTCAGATGGAAGCCAGAAACCGAAAGAATGACAAGCTCGAAGCTAAAGAGCACAGTGTTAATGTGGCTGAAACGAAAGGTAAAGGAAAGGCAATTGCTAACTCCC